TCTCGATTTTCTACTTCCATTTTTATTTAACAGTGAAACGTCTTATTTTAGCACAGTCTAGTCAGAGGAGTTAATACTATTACTATATATGAAAGCAAAAATAAAACACATTTTCATTTGTTATGGTTGTTTAATTGAAAAACACACCATTCGCCACATCTTCGGAAAGACATATTACATTTGACCAAGTTAATGTCGTAGTGCATACAAGGTAATAGACTTAACGATTTGCACTGCTGCCTCTCTCCGCGTTTCATTTACAGTGATCGGTTTATCGTTCAATTCACATTGCCCAACTAGATGTTTAGGGGTCTCTTGGAAGTAAATGAATGCATTTTTTATATCAGATAAGTGCATTAACATCACTTGCAAATTCTCTATCCTTTCACCCGCAACGATTATAATCTGCTTTGCTTCTTCTTCGGTTTCACCATTATTAGCTCTGAATGTAATCCTTTCTGGGGCTTCTTGTGCTTCTTGTGGTCTGTTGAATACCTGGCATAGGATTTGTTTAGCTGTAAGGACGGGTACCACATAATTGTCTTCAAAAGCTGGAAATTCTTACAAGTTCCCCCTCCTCAAAGTTCATTCCCGTAGCACCTTTCCCCCACTGATGCTAGTGACCCCCCTTTGTATGCTAATTACCCCTTTGTTCGAGGCGTTATCACATGTAGGTGTGTTCAGTTAAACACTGAGATTTTCAACATACTACTCTACAAAATGATTTTTTCATATTCTTTTGACAAACTATACTTGACTTTTTTACGGAAAATCATGACACACTTTAATGTGACTTATTCTTAATTTTACCATACTAAAGTAAGACTTGAAAATACTATATCGTTTTCTAGTTTTTTATATTATACATCCTTATTTATGTTAGTGTGCTGAGAAAACACAATAAGCAATAGCGTTTTAACAAGCAGTTTAAACTGTCTGTGTCAGTTTTACTTATCTCCATATTAAGTGATTATATAATATGACAGTGATCATTTCTATGTTTATTCATTGCAAATACTTAGTTACTTACCACTTGAACTGTTTAGCTCTTCAAGGTTAACTGACCTAATATATATACTTTTTTGTAGTATTGTCACCACGTTCTTAAGAATTATATGGACGAGTTGGCAGCTGCCATGGCTGGACTGTCAATCAAAAGTTACCAGTTATCAAGCGATGGTATGGACAACTTAACAGCTGACTTGGCTAGACTTACTATGAGGAGTCAGCAGGTAACAGATGAGTGTGTGAATGAAATAACAGCTGCCTTCAGAGGACTCTCCACTAATGCACAGCAGCTTCCTGTTAGTGCCTGCACTGAGAATCCTCAAATACAGAGACAAGTCACTTTGTTCACGCTCCCTGAGACCCTCAAGCCCACTAATGCCTAGGTGAATAATATTGACTTGTGTTAGTTTTACTTAAACTTACTTACATTAAGTGATCATAATATGACAGTGATAACTTCTATGTTTATGCATTGCAAATACTTAATTATTTTTTGTTAGTTCTACACCTCTCTTTATCCGCTCTCCAAGCCTCCAAGGGCGGACTCCTGAGGTCCGTAATGCCCCCCTAACATGACACTTAGACTATTTACATCATCTAGGGAAGCACACCAGTAAATGTAGCCTCATGTAACTTCATATAGGGATTCTTTAATAGTTGTGTGAAGTAGTTAAACAATAAGGGGGTAATAAGATCTTTAAATTATAATTTTCCTCTCAAAGAGACTTCGTTGTACACACACACACACAAACAAAACAACATTAAATAATGACATGATATTATAGTGATAACACATAATGTGTAGAAAGAGATGTCCTGTATGGGTTGATTGCGCGTTGATCTGTTGGTAAAATGCTCATCTATCATTTTCAACCAAGCAGTATGAGGTCAAATTTAATAAGTAATAGTTTGTCACGATTTTACGGGAAAAAGTCAGAGCGCAATGTCACATCTTAAAGACAGCTTGAACTGGATAGATGGTTAGTCTTTTTTCAAAACATACCATATGTTCTGCATGTTAGTATATTTGGCCAAATCGGGTTAGGCCCTACTGCCCCACTCCCCCAATAGGGAAGTCACGCTTTGAGAAGAGGTGTTTAATTTCACAGATCTGACTTGATGTGATGGCTGAAGTAATAGGGACGGGGGAGGAAAATTCAGGGGTGAAGAAGCAGAAAGATAACTTGTTTGTAAAACGGACAGCACTTCGGTTTCAGGAAAGATGACACATATAACTTCATATAGGGATTATTTTATTAGTGGATTTGATGTAATTAAACATAAAGAAAAAAACCAAACGCCATGGGGTCATTAAGATCTTTAATTTATTGCCAACCTCTTCAGAGAGACTTTGTTGCATTTATTACCAGATTACCCCTCCTTTCAACAAAGAGAGGCCCTTATAGTTAGTATAGTAATTAAACATTAGTTCACCATCCGTACACTTCAAGAGAGCCTCCTTAGTTATTAACCCAACTCTTATTTAAAAAAAAAAAAAAGGCGGGTTAGGAGAGCATCAGTTGCACCTCTTATGTGACATACAAGAATAGTGTGTGACAGACAAAAGATGTCCTATAGGGGCTGATTATGCATGGACATAAACGCTAGTAACGTCTAATCTGACGGGGGATACCCGCTGTTGCTGACGGAGGGAGACCCCGGTGCTGCGGACTATTCGACATGCATCTCTGCATGCGGTGAGCGGAACAAAACACACTCGTAGATAACACACGTAGCTATTTTAATTACCTCTCAAACTACCTAAACTAGTTAAAGTTTGTTTTAGTTTTACTGTCGAGTCACTCATTATTGGACCCGCGAGCTGCATGATACTGGCGTGTTGTCAGGAGGGGGGGAGAGCAGTCCGTTTATTATTCCCGTGTTATTGTAAATTACTGTACACGTTTTGAATAGTTAATTAATCTACTATAACTAGTTGGTTTAATATCGAATCATATCAGTTTGTTTCAAAGCTCATTAAATAACATAGAAGACCTTTAGCCGGCACTTTTCTAATTTTGCCACGGAAGATTTAAACTGTAACGAACATGCCGACCGGACAGGAGGGGGGAGGAGGAGGGGGTTGAGAGGGGTGGGGGCTGAGGAGGGGATGGGGGGCGACAGGGAGGATGTGAAACCTGCTGTAAGGAGGGGGTGGGTTGAGAGGGGTGGGGGCTGAGCGGGGTGGGGGGCTACCTGAGAGGATGTAACACCTGTATGTGAGGGGGAGGGGGGGTGGGCTGAGGGGGGTGGGGGCTACCGGTGAGGATGTAACACCTGTACGCGATAACACCTCGAACAAAGGGGCTCATTAGCATATCAAAGGGGGGTCATTAACATAATTAGGGGGCGGGACTTAGAAGGTGTGACCTGTCACTTTTTTATGCATACTAATGAGATTGAAGCGGGATATGTACTACTACTCACAACCTTATAATGATGAGCCTGCTAGGCGTTCAAGAGACCAGGAGCAGCCAAGGATTAGAAGGAATAACGGCCATCGGAGAGAAATGGAGCTGTGGTGTGAGGAGAACCAGTGGAGAACAGGGCAGCTGTCTTGGTGAGTGACCGGCGTTAGCTACAGTTCATGTTAGCTAACGTCGGTCACATCACAACATTGTAAAGTTAGCTATCATATATCAGGCTATAACTAAAGTAGTATTGATCATATAGAAACGTTACTGGCAGGACTGTTGATACTGATCCATGACAGAAACTAATGCGCAAGTATCAGCCGTATCTCGCGTTACCTAATGCAACTCCACACTACGTCTGACGGTGCTGTGTACCGGAGGGGAAAGAGAGGAGCGAAGGGGGGAGAGAGATAGGAGCGAAGGGGGGGAGAGAGAGGAGTGAAGGGGGGGAGAGAGAGAGGAGCGAAGGAGGGGAGAGAGAGAGGAACGGAGGGGGGGAGAGAGAGAGGAACGAAGGGGGAGAGAGAGAGGAACGAAGGGGGGAGAGAGAGAGGAACGAAGGGGGGGAGAGAGAGAGAGGAACGAAGGGGGGGGAGAGAGAGAGGAGCGAAGGGGGGAGAGAGAGAGGAACGGAGGGGGGGGAGAGAGAGAGGAGCGAAGGAGGGGAGAGAGAGAGGAACGGAGGGGGGGGAGGAGAGAGAGGAACGAAGGGGGGGAGAGAGAGAGGAACGAAGGGGGGGAGAGAGAGAGGAACGAAGGGGGGAGAGAGAGAGCAGCGAAGGGGGGAGGAGAGAGAGAGCAGCGAAGGGGGGGAGAGAGAGAGGAACGAAGGGGAGAGAGAGAGGAACGCATGGGGGGGGAGAGAGAGAGGAACGAATGGGGAGAGAGAGAGCAGCGAAGGGGGGGAGAGAGAGAGGAGCGAAGGGGGGGAGAGAGAGAGCAGCGAAGGGGGGAGAGAGAGAGGAACGAAGGGGGGGAGAGAGAGAGGAACGAAGGGGGAGAGAGAGAGAGGAGCGAAGGGGGGAGAGAGAGAGGAAACGCATGGGGGGAGAGAGAGAGAGGAACGAATGGGGGAGAGAGAGAGAGGAGCGAAGGGGGGAGAGAGAGAGAGGAACGCATGGGGGGGAGAGAGAGAGGAACGAATGGGGAGAGAGAGAGAGGCAGCGAAGGGGGGGAGAGAGAGAGCAGTGAAGGGGGGGAGAGAGAGGAACGAAGAGGGGGAGAGAGAGAGCAGCGAAGGGGGAGAGAGAGAGAGGAGCGAAGGGGGGGAGAGAGAGAGGAACGCATGGGGGGGAGAGAGAGAGGAACGAATGGGGGAGAGCGAGAGGAACGCATGGGGGGAGAGAGAGGAGCGAAGGGGGGGAGAGAGAGAGGAGCGAAGAGGGGGGGAGAGAGAGAGCAGCGAAGGGGGGGAGAGAGAGAGAGGAACGAATGGGGGAGAGAGAGAGGAACGCATGGGGGAGAGAGAGAGGAGCGCATGGGGGGATCAGGATCATATCAGCCTGATGTCTGCAGCTCAGAGTCAACACAACTCTCACATATTCATCTCAGCACAGAAGTTAAAGATGGAGAACTGACCTGAGAGTCTTCAGTCTGCAGTCTGGACTCTCCAGAAGATCTCTCAGCAGCTCCACTCCTGAATCCTGCAGAGCGTTGAGACTCAGGTCCAGACCTCTCAGATGGGATGGGTTGGACTTCAGAGCTGAGATCAGACCAGAACAGCTGATCTCTGACAAACTGCAGCTCATCAGACTGAATAAAGAAAACATGATGTAAGTTTAGAAAAACAAAGTTTCAGCTTAAAATATTCAAGGTTCAATAATCTGTTTATAGCTGGAGAAGTAGAGAATGTAGGAGTTTATAAAGTGGACATCCTGACAGGTTAACCTGTTCCACTCTGAGCCTGTTTTTCAGGTCTCAGGCTCGAAAATGACATTCCCAGAACAAATGACCATATCTTCCCTTCTAAAAGGGTTAAATTAATAATCTTTTCTCAAAGTAATGATAAACCTGTGAGTTGGATGTAGAAGTGTCAGAATCAATATAAATGTTTTTTATTTTAAAGAAAATTCAGATTTTACATAGTAAAAAACTGTAAATTATAGTGTCCGTCCAAAAATTATTTTTTACAGATAGTGAAAACTACCCTTGGATGATGGGTTAGTAGACTAAAAGCTTTAGGAATCCAAAGTACAACATATAATAAGTACCCTGTATCAAGATTGATGCAAAACAAGTGAAATTTGACCTTTTTAGAGAGATTTAGCCAAAAACTGGGCCATCTGGGGTCATTTGGGTGGATTTGACCTATCTCTGGCCCCCCTTGCTCGATCTGGTTGGTTGACATACCCTTGTGACCGTTAGAGCCAATAGAATCGAAGGAGGAGACTCACATAGACACACATTGTAAAGAAAAAATGTTGCCGCTTCGCGTGTGGAAAGCGAAACTAAACTGGAGGAATGTCTCCTTCTGGAGTTTGGAAACTAAAACGCAGTTGTATTGCTTATGGATTATCAGAAATAATTTCAAAGAAGGCACAGACACATAGGATGAACCTATGGATTAACTGCAGCATCGTTTTTTTATCGTTTTAATGCCATTGAAGACCACTTTTGACCAAGGTGAGCCATATTTACATGTTTAGCTTCTTGGCTCCACATGTGATGATGTACGCTTTCGTTGATAGCGTCGCGAATGTTTATCACTGAGTGTTGAGGTGGGCACCGTTAGATTCAGTGTCTCCAGGACACCAAAAAATAGTGTTTGGTTGTGCATCTAGGATAAGTAATAAGGGAGTTCTGAGTGAGTTTATGTGCCTTTGTCGGTCCCGTTTTTTCGATCGAGGCTAATTCAGAGGCTGAGTGCTAGCATTGTGGGTTTTTTTTTTCAAAAAAAATTAAAAAGATCAGTTAGCTGAGTTTCTTCCCGTTACATGGATATAACACATTCATAGTTTTATTCAATATTAAGATTCCTTAGACGTTGTTTCCTGCAAATGACGCGTTTATCCGCCCGGTACCGGGGGGAAGGCGTGAAACAGGTTAAAAACTGTAAGATCCAGAAAGAGAAAAGAGCTCTCATTAATATGAAAGACAACGTGCTTCACCTTCAATAAAAAGTGGAGACTTCACATCTGAACCTCTGCTCCATCTACACTAACTCATGATGTGCAGCCAGACTAATACAAACCCACTGAAACTGATTCAACTCAAGATCACACAGTTTACAAATATGACAAATATGTCGGAATGAATTTAGAAGAAATGTGATAAAAAATAAATAGAAAATATTTATTTAGGAATAGTGGAGCCATACATCCAAAGCATCTTCAGTTTAAACTCCTCAGTCAGTATGAGCATCATGTAGCTTCATACAAATGTGAGAAACAGCTAAACCTGACATTATTTGTTAGTGTTTAATAGTTTTGATAGAAATATGTATTAATTGTAATAAACTGTTTATTATATCATTTATAAAAGAAACCTGATAGAGAATATAAAATGAACTCCAGGTGTTTAAATGTTCAGATTGAATTATGAAGTGTAGGATTTTCTTGTTATATTTTAATGTAAAGCTCAACATTAGTCTGCCACAGTCAACACATGTTCTGTAGAATCCCATATGTCTGGTAACAAGTTGCACTGACTAACATGTGGCTTTGCATTGTCAGCTTGCATTATATTGTTCTTGGGAGAATGAAAGAAAAGAAACACAAGATGAACAAAAGGAGAAACTGCAGACAAATGGTAACATCCATGATTTGTTGTGCTAAGCTAGGCTACGCCTGGAACTGGAGAGATTCCCCAGCGAGAGGAACCCCTCCACCTCCCTGTGTTTAATACAATACTGCTGAACCAGCAGAGAGTCGACCCCTTACTGACCTGAGAACCACCAGTCTGCAGTCTGGACTCTCCAGAAGATCTCTCAGCAGCTCCACTCCTGAATCCTGCAGCTTGTTGTAACTCAGGTTCAGAACTCTCAGATGTGAAGGGTTGGACTTCAGAGCTGAGATCAGAGCAGAACAGCTGATCTCTGACAACCTGCAGCCTCTCAGTCTGAATAAAGAAAACATGATGTAACTTTAGAAAACAAAGTTCCTAGAAAGGGCGCTAAAGTCATTTCTGGCCCCGCCTACTTTCATTAGAGCGAAGTGTAAAATAATAGTGTCTTCATGTCTTAAAGCTGCTGAGTCATATACTGCACCTCAAACAACAAATAAATCCAGAGTTACAGTTTCTTTACTTCCTCTACAGAAAAAAGGACAGTAAAAGAAACTCAGAAATCTCAGTTTCAGATGAAGCCTGCAGCAGACCCACCGGACATCCAAGGAGATAATAATGCCGCATTTCCACTACACGGTCGGCCTCGGCCACACTCGGTACGGCTCGGTACGGCTTGGCCGCGTTGGGCCTTAACAGGGCCGACTCACTTCATGCTGCGCTTCCATTACAGTTTAGGAACTGGGGTAGTTACTATAGTAACGCAGTGTAGGCGGAGCCGTGACGTCATCTTCAATGAGAAATCCAGAAACACAACACAGCCGTTAGCTGTTAGCACTCAGAGCTCACAGCTCCTTATATATGTTCAGAAACTCGACAAAAGTTAAACAAGTACACACCACAGACTGCCTGTGTCATGGTGAATACAGTCGCTGCTTTATTTACGTCTGTATAGGCCGTTGTTGTGAGTGTGGACGGTCGGGGCATATACTGCGTTAGCTTAGCCAATCTCCATCTAGAAAAACACGAATTTTAAAAGGTTTTTCGCCTGCCGTCTGTCTGCAGACTTGACAAAGCATTAATTCATGGTTTTTACTAACCGGTATCAGTATGTTGTTACTTCGGCATCATTTTGAAACGTGTATTACAATTAAATCACGGTCAAATATGTCCATCTTGTTGTAGTTCTAGCCCTCTTGCCAGCGCTCCTCTCTCTAGTTTAGCATACTCAGCCCGACTCAGCCCTGTTTGTTGGCCCCGATAGAACCACAATTTTCTAGGGCCAGAAAAGAGGTGAAAAAAGTGGCCCCGCGCCGTGCCGCGCCGGAACTAGGCCTAGTGGAAGCACAACCAAAAAAGGGGACGGCACGACACGGCACGCTTAAAGCGAGCTCCGCGCTGCAGTGGAACTGCGCCATAAGGTTCTCTAAGGTTTAATAATCGGTGATAAGAAGATGCAATTACAGTATGTATACAGATTTCATTGATCATGAGAAATGTGAATAAAAATAGCTCACAGTTTAGACACAGTGCATTTTGCTGCAGGGAACATTCAGGGCTGTTTGGACGAAGATTGTGAGAAATCAATCTCCAAGTTTGCTGATGCTTCTGGGCAGAAGTGACGAGATAATGTAGACTGTCTCTATATAGTTATCAAGTGCATTATCTTTTTTTTGTGTTGCCTAAATCCACGTTTCTCTTGTTTGAACTTTATAATGACACGCCAATGTTTCGGCAGATACCTGGATAATGCCTACAATCATATATTTAATTTATGTTATATACAATCAGAATCATTTCATAATAATAAATAATATCTCTAAGGTTTAATAATCGGTTCAGAGCTCAAAATGGTTTTAATGTCAGCAATGATGTGGAAAACCCCTCTCCCACTCCGGCCTCCCTCTACCTGCTCCCTCCTCCAGCTCACCTGTGGGAAATCCTTTCCCCCATGAACAAAGAAGCTGGCTGGCCTCATGCAACTCCTGAGAACCAATCGTTTGAGTAAATAATCAGTACGTGTTCCTTTCCTTTGTATTGTATGTTCATAGCAGCTCCAGTAGTTTACCTCCCTATTTTCTGTACCGTTTAGATTTGGTTACTTTATTTCTACATTACATATAATAATGTAGAAAGATAACTGCTTTGCTGGAGTATCATTTGAAGTATGAATGTTATGTTTGAACTAACTAAGATGTGTTGTACTTTCCTACCAGATCAACCAGACAACAATTAAGACAAACAAGAATCAACAAATTACAATGAAAACAATGATCTGGAACTCCTGCCTCCATGTGCTCATCTTTAAATCCACTGCGTTGACTGTTTAGTCCTTGAACCAAGCACCCTCACCACCCTCCATATTCTTCAAAGGATGTAGATTCAAAACAATTGATAAGCTCAAACTCTCTGCAGCAGTTTTTCTCAGCAACATCTTTGACCTCCTTCATCTCCCTCACAGCTCATCAGTACTGACAGCATCTTCACTGACTCATGGAGCACAGTGAGAGTGAAGGCTGAAAGGATATCTCACATGAGAGCGGTTGGACTTCAGAGTCACACATTTACTTTCTCTGCTTTTTGTTGTTCTTTAAAATACTCAGCCATTTAGAAAGAAATATAAAATAATTTAAATGTCTTTGAACTCTTAGTACTAAACTCTGGAATTAGAAATAATATAAATGATAAATAAATAGAAATCCACATGAACTACAGCCAGTGATCTGACCTGAGAGTCTCCAGTTTACAGTTTGGACTCTTTAGTCCAGAACTCAGCATCTCCACTCCTGAATCCTGCAGCTTGTTGCCTCTCAGGTCCAGCTTTCTCAGTTGGGAGGGGTCGCACTTCAGAGCGGAGGCCACGACTTCACAGTCAGAGTCTGAGATTCCACAGTTAGGAAATCTGCAATGACACATATATTAAAGCATGTTATTATAAAACAAGGGGAAACATTACATTTACTTCATGCATTTGTTGAAAAAATATTTTGAATATAATGTTTTGAATAACTCTGATGTTAGTAATTAATATTTTATTGAGTTTGCTGTAAGCATTTTCAGTGTGATCTGATCACATGTTTGTCCCGTCGGACCTACCTTCTGCTGTTAGTGAACAGAAATTAAACAAATCGACAATATAAGAGATGTACATAATGAAAAGTTAATATATTTGGATGTGCATGACACTGAATGCATAATGTGTTGGCTTCTCAAAGCATCTAAGAATGTATAATGCACACAAACATATTGAACAAACCAATAAGTTTACATTATTTTCAACAAAACACCATGAAAAAGATGTTATCTGTGTATCAGCGTTAAAACACAATCTGACCTCTGTTCTTGGTGGGATTATGTAGGTCTTGTTTAAAAAGAGTCAACATAAATCAGATATTACTCTCTGTCTGATTTAACTATTAAGAAACTGCAGTAATGTAATAATAACTTTACTGCATTCACTGATATCTGTGAAATACTGCTGTATGTTGTGATCACATGTTGCTGTGATAAATCATAAGTCCTTCAGAAAAATAAAGAAAAGAAAAAACTGAAACATTTTTAATGATTAGAATAATTACATTTATCTTTCACAGTATTTGAAACAGCAAAAAGTTGAATAGTGTTTATTCGAAAACTAAACTTAATATCTACATTAGTTTATAAAGTTAATCACATCTGGACTCACATAGCCTTGCTGCAGTTCATCAAATCTGGAATCACTCTCTGTCGTCCCTCCTCTGATGTTCCGTACTTCTCGTGGTCCAACTCATCCAGAACCTCCTCTGACATCTGCAGCATGTAGGCCAGAGAAGACAAGTAGATCTCTGATGGGTTCTCTGACTTCAGTACATCTGTGATCTCCTGATGGACTGAGTGGTCCTTCATCTCTGTCAGACAGTGGAAGATGTTGATGCTCCTGTCAAGAGAGATTTCATCACTGTGCATCTCCTTCAGGTTGTTGATGGCTCTCTGGATGGTTTCTGGACGGTTGTCTGTGCGACCCAGCAGGCCTCTGATGGCTCTCTGGATGGTTTCTGGTCTGTTGTCTGTGCGACCCAGCAGGCCTCCTAAGAGTCTCTGGTTGGACTCCAAAGAGAGGCCGTGGAGAAAGCGGAAAAACAGGTCCAGGTGGCCATTTTCACTTCTGAGGGATTTCTTCATGGCTCCCTCCAGGAAGACATCCAGGGATGGGTAATCCTGATACCTGTTATACCTGTTGCTATAGTCTCCCTGCAGGAAGTCCTTCAGTACCTCTGTGTTCCTGTTGGTGTAACAGTGCAGCATGTAGACTGCAGCCAGGAACTCCTGAATGCTCAGATGAACAAAGCAGTAGACTGTTTGCTTGAAGATCACTCTCTCTCTTTTGAAGATCTGTGTACAAACTCCTGAGTGCACCAAGGCCTCTGTGACATCAAGACCACAGCGCTCCAGGTCTTCTTGGTAGAACATGATGTCTCCTTTCTCCAGATGTTCAAACGCCAGCCTCCCCAGCTTCAGAAGAACCTCCCTGTCAGCCTTCGTCAGCTGCTGTGGACTCGTCTCATGTCCCTCACCATACTTCTGCTTCTTCCTCTTTGTCAGGACCAGCAGGAAGTGTGAGTACATGTCAGTGAGGGTCTTGGGCAGCTGTCCTCGCTGGTCTGTAGTCAACATGTGGTCCAGAACTGCAGCAGTGATCCAGCAGAAGACTGGGGTCAGACACATGATGTGGAGGCTCCTGGAGCTCTTGATGTGAGAGATGATTCTGCTGGACAGGTCTTCATCACTCGATCTCCTCCTGAAGTACTCCTCCTTCTGGGCGTCAGTGAAGCCTCGTACTTCTGTTACCCGGTCCACACACTCAGGAGGGATCTGATTGGACGCTGCAGGTCTGGAAGTTATCCAGACGAGAGCCGAGGGAAGCAGCTTCCCCCTGATGAGGTTTGTCAGCAGCACGTTGACTGAGGACTGCTGTGAGACATCAGACACAACCTCATTGTTTCTGAAGTCCAGAGAAAGTCTGCTTTCATCCAGGCCGTCAAAGATGAGCAGCACTTTGCAGACAGCCAGCTGCTCTGCTGTGACCTTCTGTAAGGTTGGATGGAAATCATGGAGCAGCCTGAGAAGACTGTACTGCTCACCTTTGATCAGGTTCAGCTCCCTGAAGGAGAGCGGGATCACCAGACTGACATCTTGGTTTTCCAAACCCTCGGCCCAGTCCAGAGTGAACTTCTGCACTGAGAAGGTTTTTCCAACTCCAGCGACTCCGTTGGTCAGGACCGCTCTGATGAGAGGTTGGTCAGGTAAGGCTTTAAAGATGTCCTGGCACTTGATTGGAGTTTCATGGAGGGGCTTCTTCTGGGAAGCTGTCTCCAGCTGCCTCACCTCATGTTGGGTATTAACCTCTTCACTCAGGCCTTGTGTGATGTAGAGCTCAGTGAAGATCCTGTTCAGGAGGGTTTCACTTGTATCAGTTCCTTCAGTCACATGTTCACATCTCCTCCCCAGACTGATCCGATGTTCATCTAAAACCTCCTGCAGACCACTATCTGCTGAAGGAGAAGGAAACATGTGAGTAATACAAATAAAACAAATAAATAAAAGGGTTCAGAATGAATGTGTCTTTGCTGTAACAAATGAACCAGGAAGAATCCTGTTTTCAGACATGAAGACCCCAGCAGACAGATATTTAGACTTACTTTGTACAGTGCTGGTCTCACTGTCTCTCTGCACTCCAGCTCTTGTTCTGGATGTGTTCCTCTTCCCTCTGTTGAGATGAACACATCCTTTATAGCGCAGGTATATGTACATAATAAAAACATCTTCCTGTCTGGATTCATAACATAATTCAAAGTTGGACACAGCAAGTTCATCATATATAGCAACTCACACGTCATCAAAATTAGGGCTGGGCGATATGGCCTAAAAATAATATTGCAATATTTTTAACCTGTATCGTGATACACAATATAAATTGAGATATTTAGAAATCCCGTTCCATACCCAACACACCAGTATGAGGATTGTTACATTAAGACATTAAGGGCTATTCATGATCATTTGCATCTCGTCTTCATCTATTGTACATCGTGGATCACGTCGGAACTTTCAAAACACCAAACACAGCAGCCACACAAATACTCGCTCAGTCTGGTCCACAAAGCCCTGCTCCTCCTCGGGAATAATGCTGAACCAGACGGGCTCGGAGGTAAAGACGGGTGAGGGTGTTTGCGGACGCAAAGGACAGCCATAGACTGTAGAGGACAGCCCACTAGGGGAAGCAGTGAGGTCTGTTGTGTGTTCCATACAGAGTCTATGGTTCATACACATACATTAAAAACACTGAATTAATATGAGGTACTGTAAAGCTCTGGCTGCTGATGTTTTCCTTTACTGATTCAACGTCAGCACGTCAGCACGTCAGCACGTCAGTGACGACAGCACGTCAGTGACGACAGCACGTCAGCACGTCAGCACGTCAGCACGTCAGCACGACAGTAGCAGAATCTCAACACTGGCAGGTTTGTGCGTCAGAGCGTCACACAAATATCTCGATCAAGTTGACATTTTCAAGTTGCGGCTATACGCGGGTACAGGGCCGGCTCGTAGCATAGGCAGTATAGGCGAATCCACCCGCAAATAAGGTGGGAAGAAAAAAAGAATTTCAAAATGTTGTCTCCGTCCTCGGCTCTGTGTGCGTGTGGCACAGCACATTTTGTGTGAGCGAGCGAGACAGAGAGAGGGCACTGGTTACAGGGATTGTTGTTAGCATCCAGACTGGATATCCAGGCGTGCACATCACATTTTTAGTGAGTGACTCAGATGAGTACCAGGAGACAGCGTTTGGTACTCACCCCACACGGAGCGTGGTTTTAATAAGTGCAGTCTTCCTCACTATCCTCTTCAGTGTCTCCTTCACTGTCCTCTAGTTCCTCTTCTTGCATGGTAGATGATGAAGATGCTGCAGATGCACCTCCCTGTCCCTGTTTAAGCCTCAGATTTGCATTCTCCAAAACTTGTTGGCAAAACTGTGAAGTCTTTGCATTTCCTGAGGCCAAGTTGAAGGATCAACTACTACGCTGATGAAGCCAAGGAACCAAGGAAGAAGATCTTCTTTACTTTTCTCTTCTGTGTTTCTTTAGTGTACTCTTCTGTACTCTACTGCCTTTCTTTACTGTACTCTTCTGTCCTCTACTGCGTTTCTTTACTGTACGCTTCTCCCTGAGTGTTTAGATAGTTTACATCAGTCTCAGTGATCTCAAACTTATTGGACACCATTAAAACCCTTTAACTGCCGGACCAAGAAAAAAGATATGGAAAGATTATTTGTTTGCATTTTTCTATCAAATGGGCCACAAACAATTTTTATTTTGTTGACTGACCACACAGTTTTGTTTTTATGAGCCTCTACCAACTGGTCGAGCTGGCCTTTTATGGTAAAAGTGCATTTTCAACAATCATCATATACAGTACAGTATTTGTATGCATCAAACTCAAATAAAACACAAACTGAAATACATTTGTTTCTTTTATGGAAAATGAGCAATATATACAACCAGATATATTCATAAAAGATAATAAATTATAATTGTAAAAAAAAAAAAATGGAAAAAAGTAATGTTAAGGGTTTTTCATAATAAAAGAAAGACTTGCTCATCTTACTGTATATGCTGAATTGGCCTAATAAGAAACCACTGGCTTAACAGCAAATGTCTACATCCTGTGTTGGCCTAACTTGCTCATCTGTGTGCAACTTTGGGCTGAATGCCATGCATGAAAGGTGCTATATAAATTATTATCACTCTTTCACTCTGAGACTCATAAGGCAGTACTAGATTTAGTAATATTACCATGAATCTAGCCATTTATTTACCATCTTTTATTGGAAAACATCTCTGAAACTCTGAAAAAGTAATATTGCTAGTTTACCATAAAAAGCCAATTCCACCGATTGGTTGAGCATATTTTCCAAAAAATAATTACACCCTTGTTAAAACTTTTTTTGTGCATCAAGTTATCTAAATGTGTTCAGTAAGTGCTCTCACACTAAAATATGTCAAAATTGATATGGTTACCTTACAAAAGTTGACCAAAAAGAGTGATTTATTCAGCAGTGATTTTTAGCATGCCAACTTCCTCAGTGGAAGCTAGCTGAAAGGGCTTTCTGTTCAAACCACAGTGACATCTAGAGGTTGTTTTGTGCATAACACGTCAACCAGAAGGTAGAGCTGGCTGAATCAGATGGAGTTACACTTCTTTTTTTTTTTTTCAACAAGATATCAAGACACAAAATGTGCTCTACCAAATGGTGGCGCTGGCAGTTAAAGGGTTAACAACATCCTGCCCACCAAGTTCTTACTCTTGTTATTTTCCATCTGAAAAAAATCTATTCAAAAAGATGTTTCTGACCACGCCACGAGGGTTAACTTTTCTTCTTCTTGTTTCTGTACTGCTCTCATGTAGTTACGAAATAACAGTTTAGATGATCAGATAACATAAACACTGAATCCTCTTCAGGTCAGTTCACAGGAGAAACAGACTCTCACTTTGTTTCTGAGGGTCCAGGTCGATCCCTGAAGTCCAGAAGTCTGCCTTTAGGACCCGTCACTCTTCAGAGACAGAGAGCTGGGGACGGAAGAGTGTCCTCCTTCTCATCTTTTGAATCACCATCTTCTCCAGTCCGACAGATACACCAGTAACACTGCAGACAACACACACCACACACACAACACACACACACACACACACACACACACACACACACACACATACACCCACACCACACCACACACATTTTACATTCAATTTAATAAAAAACATTAATGACAAACCTTGGTTTCAATACAACACATAAGTCAGACTTCTCACAGGTTGCTCATGTAACTATCATAGGAGGCTGTGGCTCAGTGAGGGAGTGCGCTGAACTTCTGATTACTGCAGTCAGCATGTCGTGGGTTTGCCCACATACTGTCGCTTTGGATAAAAGCAGAGATTGCAAAAGTACACACATCCTTTACTCAAGTAGAAGTACAGATACTCGTGTTTAAAAATACACATAATTTGACATTACAATTTAACTTGTTAAGCCCGAAAGGACCCTAATCGGGGGCCTGCGGGGTGTTCTTTCACGACACTGTGTCTCAGGGCTTCTTAATATTTAAAAACCTATTAATGTGTCATACTCACGTAACCGTTAGAAACTCAGCTAACTGAAGATATGAACCATTTTAACCGAAACAAAGCACAAGTCTAATGCCGAGCCTCTGAATTAGCCCTGAGCAAACGCACATAGCACAGAACTCGGTAAAAATACCCTTATTACTGATCGTATATGCAAATACAAGACAATGATTAGCAAGCTGAGATTCCACAGATTCCAGACATATAAGTCTCATCACTGAGCGATCAGAACTCGCGGCGAAACGACAACAAACAACAGCAACAAAATTAGCTTTAGGTAGCCAAAACCGCTAAAAACTTCTTACCTGTGTTGTTTTCTGATCAAAAGTCGTGTTCAATAGCATTAAAACGATAAAAACGCGTCTGAAGGTTAATCCATAGGTTAATCCAATGTGTCTGTGTCACTTAGAAATGATTACTGATAATCAGTCATTCCATTTTTATGTTAAAAACTGACTTTTCATATTAGCTGCTAATGATAGCAACCAGAGTGTATGACAGCTTCCTGTTCCGGGGCATTCTGGATACGTATCACTCTATTGACCAATGGGTGATGTTTAGATGGATTTTAGGAACTTCCCCTCGATGCTATTGGCTCTAACGGTTAAAAAGAGATGTCAATCATCAAAATCAACCGAGGGGGGCCAGAGATAGGTCAAATCCACCCAATTTTTTTTTCTTCTAAACCTCTCTGAAAAGATAAAATGTTACTTGTTTTGCATCAATCTTGATACAGGGTACTTATTATATGTTATAGTTTGGATTCCTAAAGCTTTTATTCTACGATCCCGTCTTTCAAGGGTGGTTTTCACTAAGTAATGTTATTGTTTTTTGGACGGACACTATAATTTACATTTTTTTAATATGTTCAATCTGAATTTACTTTAAAATAAAAAAATTCTATATTGATTCTGACTTTTCTACATCCAACTCACAGGTTTATCATTGCTTTGAGAAAGAAGATTATTAATTTAACCTTTTTAAAAGTGAAGATATCGTAATTTGTTCTGGGAATGTCCTTTTCGAGCCTGAGACCTGAAAAACAGGCTCAGGGCTTAACAGGTTTATAAAAAATATCATAATGACAAACCTTGGTTTCAATACAACACATAAGTCAGACTTCTCACAGCTTGCTCATGTAACTATCATAGGAGGCTGTGGCTCAGTGAGGGAGTGCGCTGAACTTCTGATTACTGCAGTCAGCATGTTGTGGGTTTGCCCACATCCTGTCGCTCTGGATAAAAGCAGAGAGAGCAAGAGTACACACACCTTTACTCAAGTAGAAGTACAGATACTCGTGTTTAAAAATACTCTGGTAAAAGTAGAAGTACTGACTAAACTTCTTTACTCAAGTAAAAGTAAAGAAGTATGGGCTTTGAAATCTACCTAAGTCAAAAGTACCCATAACTACCAGCTGTTTTAAAGAGTACCTGACCTCCCTTTATATTAATAGAACAATAATGTCAGTGTTAGCTAATGAATGTTTCCATGCTGAACAACGGCAACATGATTCAGTGTTTGTCGTCACTTCACAAGCGGTGTGCGTTGCTGCTCCAAAGTTAAACTACTTTCAACAAAGGACGTTCA